TTCTGCGCGGGAGGGCGGCGCGGCGCCAGCCTCTGCCCGGCCTCTGCTGGGCTGGTCGCAGCGGTGCCGAGCGGAGCGCGGGGTTGGCTTCGGTGCAGCAGTGCGGGAGACATGCAAGCAGGATGGGGCAGGTGCCTGGGCGCGCACAGAGCTGGGAAGGATGGTAAAGCTGTGATGTTTGCAGGGTGAGCAGCCAGCACCTGCCCGTCGGTGCTTGGGGGAGAGCCCCATGCTTGCTGGAGCAGCCTGATCAGTCCTTTTAGGAACAGAGGTATATCACGGGTTTGCAGCTGTAGTATCTGACTCGGGGGGGGGTATAACTAGCCCGGTTGCCCTGCAGGATGATCTTGCCTTTTAGCGTGGGCACGCTGTGCGGCCCATGCTTGTGTGGAGGCTCCGTGTGCCTGTCTGTCCACGTAGCTGTTTCCATGCACACACCTCCCTCTTCTTTGCCACACAGAGTTGAAACATTTGAGCCAACGTCTGGTGCGAGGAACGTGCTTTTATCATTGCCCCATCATCCATTTGGCAGGGATCCTTGGGGCACTGTGCTAAAGCAGTGTGTTGTGAAGCGTAACTGAGTTTTTTACTTTAATTTAGTGATAGGCAGAGGTAGACTGGAAACATGCTCATTTAAGATTCATGCTTCACTGCTTCAGGATCGTTGCCAAGAAATGTTGCGTTTTCCTTGCGTCCTTCCCTCTGTGGTAGGAGAAAGCTGAATCACGTCAACTTCTACAACTCGGCGACAGACCCACCCCTTTGTCCCATGTCATTATGCACATGGGATTTTTTTGGTAGTTCCTGTAACGCAATATGGAAATCAGCATATTGCCAGATCTCATTTCATCCTCGTCAGGAGCCCCCCAGGTTTTATCCATGCCAAGTTGATGCTCATTTGCGCCATTCAGCAGGCCGGAGGGGGGACGCGGCAACGGGGAGAGACAGGGAATCAAGTCTGACAGTGTGCTTCGTGCTTGTGGGCAGTTACGTTAAGGTTATTCCATAAAACTTTTCATATTCAAGCTAAATTACTTGCTTTGAAACGCTAGACTTGCATTTCCCTCTCCTGTCTCTCTTTTGTTCTGGGCCTGGGTTTCTCCTGGTATCATACGCCTACCACCTCATTGGGTTGTTTGCTTTCCCTGGCACCACTCGGATGGGTTCGAGGGGCGGTAGGCTGTCACCTTGGCGTGTCACAGGTGGCTGTTTTAATCACAGGCTTCGGAAATGGGCTTTTTAATTGGTATAATTTTGCAGAATGGAGAAACTCTTTTCAGAGGTACTTCTGTAGTAGAACAGAGGGAAAACCATGTTCCTAGCTGGCACTTACTAGAAATCGCTTTGGCATTTAAGCTGAGCTGAAATGATTCCCATTAAACTTGTTTCCAAAGCTGTATTTTTCTAAACAAAATGGAACACGTTCACGTTTTTGAGCTACTAATTTCCATTTTTCTCTCCTTATCCAGCAAGAAAGTTGATGAAAGAATGTTTCTTTTGCTATTCTGTCTCTGTATGTGCTGTTTTTGCTTTGTAGTAACTCAGGTTGGTGTGTCCCAGGGACATAATATGTGTCCAGACCCTGGGATTCCAGAGAGGGGCAAAAGAATAGGCAACGATTTTAGGTAAGCCCGTGTGTGTGTGTGTGTGTTTCTGCATGCAGCAAAGCGCTTGTTTCTAGCCGTTGTTGTGCTGCTCGGCATCGCGTAGTTCGTTTGTTTAGAGACCGTCCACGCACCTCTAAACGTGTTACGTCAGAAAAGCTTGCTGAGATTAGTGATGCAAAAGAAAGTGTGTATAAACGTGCACGTGTGTGAGACAGCATTACAGATGAGGATCTGTAATGATCTATCTTTGAGAATAGTTCTCTTTTCTCAAAATGGGCCTTTAGCCAGGCTACTATAAGCAGTGTTTGCAGTCGTTCTCCTCTCCAGCGAAGTGCAGAAAGACCTGTTTTAAACATCAAACGAATCACTTCTCAGATTAGCTTCGATCTCAGCATGGCCCTGCCCCTAGTAAATTTGAGGCAACTTCCCAAAGCCCTGGTACAGTTTCTTGTCAATAAGTATATGCGCTGCTGGATAATTGTTTTCTTATAAAGTTTAAAACAGTGCTGTTATCCCCTTGTAGTTACTAGCCTTCATTTAAAGTGCGCGGGAATGAATCAGCCTTCTGTTAGCAATGGTGGATCAATATTTAATCTTATTTTGCTGTCAATGGCTGTTTTGTTCGCTAAAAATGTCTTTCAATTTAACCTGAATCTATCAAATTCTCCTGAAATCTGGAAAATGGATTGGTGGGGTGGGGATGGAGTAAGGGAATTCCCCACAGAGTGCCTAAATACCATAGAATAAATTCTCAACTGGTGGAAAGCAGCACTGTGTTCCTCCAGTGAATAAGGCAGCATTGGCTTAAACCAGCAAAGGATCTGAATCCAAAGCGATAGAATAAAGAACGAGTGTTTCAGTAGTAGATAAAGAATTTATTTTTTTTTTGTAAGGAATGCTGTGTGTGTGTCATCTCTTGGGGCCAGAGTCTGTGCTCCCACCCTGAGTGAAACTCCCACTGCAGTTGCCCTGAAGGAGTCAAATCTATTCCCAAACTGTCACCACCTCAGGCAAAAAGCACCCAGCGCAAGCAAGTGCACGAGGCGAAAGATCGCCCCGTGCTCAGTTCTGATGTTTGTTGCCTGGGGGCCAGCGAGCCTGCTCTGTTCACGCTTCAGGTTTCAGAGTATCGTTGGGATAGACTTTTAAAAAAAAAGAAAAAAAAAAAGTCAAACCTGTTTGTGCAGAAGCGTTTCAGTTGCTGACTCCACTTTTTGTGTTGTCTACTAGGTTAGGATCCAGCATCCAGTTCACCTGCAACGAGGGCTACGATTTACAAGGATCCAAAAGCATCACCTGTAAGAGAGTGAGTGACATAATTGTTGCATGGAGTGACCACAGGCCAGTGTGCAGAGGTGAGAGGACAAAAAGGTTTTACCAAGTCATTAGTAACATGACTGCGTTTCCTATTCTGTCCTTGTTTGTCATCGCTTAATGACTGCTGTTGCCTTCTCCTTTTGACTTACTGCTCTGCTGCTCACAGTATCCTTTAGATGGATGCTTTCGGGTTGCTGAGTCCCAGCCTCCCTGTGGAGGACCCTCTATCTCATACCTCTTGCTTCTCCACTAACCTTATATAAGTTATTTTCAGAAGTGGCTTCCTGCAGCCCCTTCCTTCTTTAGCTTCTTTTTGGTTCAATCTTTCCTCCCTTTAGCTGGTCAAAGCTGTTTTCCAGCAGTCCTATAATAGGTTGGAGGACTATAAGAATAGCTGGTCTTTTAACATCTTCCATGGAGTGTTTAGGCTGCCAATACCGTAACAGCTGGGTGTGGCAGGAAGGATGCACAAGTCTTTCCTTCACCCTTGCAGCATCTTTCCTGTTATTAAGACTCCTTTTAATTAAGGAATTGTCATGTTACAAACTCTGATTGAGAGTTTTTGTTAACCCTCACTTAGGAGCGCTCTTGGGAATCGCAGGGCTACCTAACGTGTGGAGCGGCTGTTGCCCTTAGTGATTCCCTAATGGTCAAGTGCTTTGGGCAAAAGGCACCAGGTGAGGGTAAAATTATTGTTCGGTGAAAAGAGTGAAGCTGACAGCTAGAGCTACACAGTCGTATGCAATTGGCACTTGGTTAAAGGCTTCCCTCCTCTGCTTCAGGAAGACAAGTGTTAGAGCGGGAGGGTTCAAGCTCTGTCCTGCTGTTGCTCCTCGCCTGTGAATGACTCTGCTGTGTGCAGTCATAGCTGAGCAGACGACTGTAGAAATGCAAGGAACTTGGCTGCAGAAACCGCATGTTTGATGCCGTTTCTTAGGAAATGATCCTAGTTAAATCAGTCTAATAGTTTAGATCTCAAGTAGCTGCTTGAAAGGGCAGTTAAGTACCTTGTGTGTCTATTGTCTTTAGTAGCTGTTGAACAGTTAATAACTGATGACGGAGTGTTGCATGCTCGTAGAGTGTGTTGGGTTGTTGATTCTCCTTTCAACTTTGGCTAGGTTTTAACCTGCTTGCGGCTCGGCAGCCCCAGTACAGCTCTCTTTTCCAAAGCCTGCATCAAGCAAGGGGTCCAGCTGGAAGAGCAGCCCCTTTATGCGCTCAGCCTGTTGGAAAAAATCAGCTTTGTACTGCTGCCTGTTCAGCGTGGTGCTGGGCAGGCTTGCAGTCCTGGGAAAGGGAGTTTGGCTTTGCCAGCTTCATATTCAAAAATCATTAGAATCTTTTTTTCTTTTCTAAAGATGATTCTTGTTTTGTGGTGAAGCATGTGCAAATAACATGGATTCAAATGTTCAGTCTTTGAATACAAGCCCGAGAAAGAAACCTTTATTTTGTTCCTATGCAATTATTTTATTCTAAAAATTTAGATTTTAAGAAAAAAGCTGTTCCTTTGCATAATGGAACTAATAAAGCTATTTTCATTAACTACGGAGCTTATAATAACTTTAAGTTATTAGCTCTGCAACCTGTGAATTATGTGACGGGGAGCAAGGAGACAAAGCAAAAGCCTGGGATAGAAACCTGAAAAAGCTAAGATGGAGGGAGATTCTTATAAATGGAAGTTGCTGCTAATAGACTAGTAACATGGGATTACTTGGATTGCGGTTCCAAACTGGCATCATCCTCATTATCCTGTGGCCTAGCCATGAACTGTATGTGAACAGTTTTCTTTCAGTGGAAAACTAAAAACTGATGCCCGTTCTGCCCTTAGCCATTTTGTTTCCTTTTTTTTTTTTTAACATATATATATATATATAGGTATAAATTGGCATGCATAATCGTGATATTTGTAATGCTAATAATAAGCAACTTGTAATATTTTTAATTAAATGTCTCTAAAGCTCTTAAAGTCATAATTTGGTATTTTTTCTATTCTTTTTTTCTTTAATATTATTTGCAGTGTTTTGCAAGGCTTTGGAATCCCATCTAATTCTTGAAACAAGCCTAGAATAAATTCAATCAGTGTAAGAGGATATTTGGCATAAATAAGTGACACTATAAAGGAAATTTATGGTGTCTTCTTGCAAGAGATAAGAAGGGATTTGCCTGCATTATTATGATTCTATGAGTGAAAATTTTTTTTTTCCTACATTTAACTTCTGGGTTTTTTCTCTTTCCAAAAAGTTTTTGTTCCCCCCCCTTTTTTTTAATTTCAGTTTTAAAACACTTTTTTTTTCCCTTCCCCCCCCCCCCCCTTTATTATTGATCGATGAATTTATTTCAGATTGTAGAAATCAGGATGTCCCATGAGCCAGCTTTTAACCCACTGGCCTGTACCAGCTTCTAATACCTGGTGATTAAATGTCTTGCCACTATGTTTGGAGATCTGGTTTCAACTTCTTCCTCTGCAGCAGATTCCCTCAGGGTCCCTGGGCAAGTCACTTCATCCCTTTGTGCTCCTGTTGCTCGCTTTTCAAATGGGAGTAGTAGGGCTTGCCTTTTCTGTGTCGGGTTGGATGGGATACATGTAGCAGACTCCAGGACTGGGTTGGTGGAGGAGGAACACAGTTCCTCACCTCCTTTCCGAGCTTCTTTTCAGTGCTCCTTATGTCCCTTTGTGACTGCCTGTGTAGACGTACAGTTTGGCCGAGAGATCTTTTTCCATGCTTTACTGCTATTTGGGGGGAAAAGCCTTGCAGCTGTCATATCTGCAGATATGGCTCCTTTGAGATTTGAAAGAGATTAATTTTGTGGATCCGCCTCAACAGCCGAGGCAGTTACAAAACCAGGATTTTGTTCTTCACGTTTTCTTGTTAAAAGTGTGGTCAAAGAACCTGAGAAAAAACTTCTTCACTGTGAGGGTGACAGAGCATTGGAACAGGTTGCCCAGAGGGGTGGTGGAGTCTCCTTCGCTGGAGATATTCAAAACCCGTCTGGATGTGATCCTGGGCAATATGCTCTAGAGGACCCTGCTTGAGCAGGGAGGTTGGACGAGATGATCTCCAGAGGTCCCTTCCAACCTAAACGATTCTGTGATTCTGTGATTCTGTGAAAGAGACACCATGGGCAGAGACTCCCCGCCAAGTGCTTTTCAGTTTCTACTTGTACTAAGCTGATTTTAAGACGCTCAGTAGAGCTGTCATCTTCGTTCTTTGAGACCACGTTTGTATCAGACTGAATTCAGCCCTCGCCTATTAAATACTTGCTGTGCAGTATTTTTTTGGCCTGCGTGAAGAAAGGAAACATGGCCTCCCTGGGACGTTAAAAAGGAACTGTGTCTTAGCTGGAGGCTTCCATGTGGTTGCTGTGACCTTTCATGGTCCTGGACATAAGAAAGTATTTCTGTGAGGGCTTTAATATAGCAAGAAATATTAAATCTATCTGAAAGGTAGAAAATGGACTGTTGATCTGTTTGTCCATCTGTGTGATAGTCCCTGGAAACACCTCCAGTCTATGCAGCACAGATAAATCCTTTGTCTCTGATGGTACAGAGAAGAAAATGAATCTTTTGACTAGTGAAAACCCTACAAAGCAACCAGTTTTGATTCTCCCCCACTTCCATACTATATGTATCTCCACTTTCTCTCCTCCCTAAACAAAGAACCAAATATACTTCCCCAAGCTAATAGACCTCACTCCATCTGTCTTGTTTTCTTTTTCACAGCCAGGATGTGCGATACGTACCTTCGTGGTCCCAGTGGGGTGATAACTTCTCCCAACTATCCTGTGCAATACGATAACAATGCGTACTGCGTGTGGGTCATCACCGCTCTCAATCCGGCCAAGGTAGGTCTCGGAGGTACCTCCATATCGCTCCTTCATTGCCCTAGTGGAAATAGTGGGGTAGCTATGCTTTTTCACATAACTTTTTCTCTCACACATAGTCGTTGAGGTTTCTATTCCTGATGGCATCTTCCCCTTTCCTCTCCTCGCAGACTTCTCCCACATATTTCTCAACTGTCTTTAAAGACCGCGACACGTCACATTCCTTCTCTGCTGAAAATTCATTTTGTTAAAGGATGTAATTAAAAGTGAATGTAATTATTTTTAATCGAAAGCTCTTTGATATCTTGCATGAATGGTGGTGAAATGCCAAACAGCTTAGCAAAGCATTTCATTAAGTGAGCTCTCAGTCGGGGGCAGGAGGGCTGTGCCAGGAATGCTGATTTTTCACTTCCTTTTGGCTGATACCTGGCCGCTAACCAACTGGGAGTTCAGCCCCCAAAGGGCTGAGAGCAAGGGAGGAGGGGAGGAATACTTCTCTACTGCTATTTGCGCAGTACTCTGAGCTTATACCAACAAGTCTTTTCTGTGCTTACAGAGGTTTGGAACAGGGGAGACTGGGGATTTTTTTGCCCCCATTGGTCTGCATGTTCAAGGAGGGAAGGTTCAAATGCAGTATCGCTCATCGCATAGAGAACAAGGCTCAGCTGCCTTGGCCCTCCAAAGATCAAGTCCTTCCCCTTTTCCACTGGTGCAGGAGAGCAAAACTCAGGCCCTCTCATCTCTTGCCTTGCAAACTCAGCCTGTCCCTCTCCTCCAGGAGGTCTTGAAGCAAGGCTGCCAAGGGACGGAGCTGAAGCTCACAACCGTTTCCATTGTAGGAAGCCACCGGTGCTCCGTGATGCTCCTGAACCTTATGTGCTTCCTCTCCAGAAAGAAATATCTGGACAAGTTTTATATTTTAAAACCCTTGCCAAGAGTACTTATAGATCTCTATGGGAACATAAGAACAAAAATGCCTTTTTTAGCTGAATAGCTCAAAATACCCTTTTTGAGGCACCATCTTCTCCTCTCAGAAGAAGACAGTTTTTTTTTTTTTCCTCCTTGGGATTTGGGTTCCTAGTAGTATAATCTGTTAGTTCATGAGCAAACCTTACATTCCAAGGCACCGAGCTCATATGCTTATCCAGTCAATTATTTCTCGGTCCTTGCCTCTAGACAGACTTGTATTTTGGCACTTTGCCTTCTGCTTCCGGTCTAAATAAGGCATTTCACAAACATGTTAGTATTCCAGGGTCTCATCTCTTGCTAGAAATTGTTCCAGCCTGTAGAAATGCTGACAACTGTTGGCAGTTGAAGCACGCACACTGCTGCTCGCTGGGTGGAATCTCGAGCTCTTTCTGCCATTGCTTTCCTTCCCTCTGGAGCACTCACCACCACAGGTTGGATCGGGGCTGGCTGAAGAGCCTGTTGAATTCTACTTCTCGCTGCCCGCTGACCTCAGTTTAGGCCTTTAATAAGTGCAGATCACTGATGGGTCCTGATCTTAATGAGGAGTGTTTCTGTGTTCTGATTTTCGGATAAGTTGATATTTAAAGGGCTGTCATTAGCTGGACATTTCATCTAGCAGATAGCTTGGTTTGGTGGCACAGAATGATGTTAATGACCCAAATTCTAGGAGACTGGAGTGTGGAGTCGGAATATTTTTCTGTGTGGATTTGTTAAGAGCGTTTTGCTGGGTCATCAGATCCAGGGGATTCTCCCTCACCGAGGCGGTGTGTCATTGGAGAACGGTCTTAGTGTAAGAGCAGCCGTTGCTGCTCCTGTCTCAGCTATGTGTCTCTGTCCACAGCCTGCAGACCCATGGGGGTGTGCATTGACTGTGCATGGACAGGCTATTCACATCTCTTTCTTTTCATCCATCTTTGTCTTTCAAAGATGAGCAAAATCCATGGTTATGTGAATAAAATCCTCCTCTGTATTTGGAATGAAGTTGTAATGAGCTGGGTGTCAACATGTCCTAGGTTTTATGTGAGCTAACACGTTCATTTGGGTTTTCTAGCGCAGCCTATGATGGTGATGAGATACCAAGAGGTGCTTTTGGACCATGTCCCTTATGTTATTGAGCCTCTGTCATGTTGCTTTCCTGTGGAATATTAAGGGTCTAATCTTTAGACTTGTTCATTTGCTTTTGTGCCAGCCTCCTGCCCAGCGTAGATGGTGGCTAACAGACCTTTCTTGCTCTTCTTTCAGCAGTGTGACTGGGCAAGCTTCTGCTTTTAGAGCTTGCTGTCTCCTGTTTAAAAAACCTTATGTTTGTGAAATTCTGCTTTCAGAAAGATTCTCCTCTTCCCCTGTCTGGATTCTTCCCCGGCCTTTAAGCCTGTGTAGTAATGAACTGTTGATTAGAAAACAGAATCAGCAAGCCCTGTTACTCAGCTCTCATAAATCATGAAGTGAACTGAAATCGGTGAAATCCATTAATTTGAATGCTTAACAACTTGCCGCAGAGATTCAATAGCAAAAGAAACTGTAACCTGTGCTGCATGGGCTGCAACTTCTTACACGGTAAAGAGGTGAAGCACAACTGAAATCAGACAGATTGGTCAAAATCATCAGCTTGTATTAACCATCTGTAAAGAGACCTCCACTTTTTTTTTCCTTTGATGTGACAAATAGTGAATTAGCAGCATCCGTTTATAAAGGGTTTCTGGTAGAGTTGTTGATTATTGAACGCTTCATCCTAGAAGCATAATTTAATGGTGGGGAAAAATCCTCCACCTCTTTGAAGGACGGAGGGTTGAGAGAGATGCGCTAATCATTTTGGGAAGGCACTGCTGTGCCTGCTTGTCATGTGCTCAGTGCTTCACCTGCTCTTACTAATTTGCAGTGTAGTTCAAAACTGCAGCATGATGCCTTTCCTCTGTTCGAATGGCAGAGGACCCTCTGCGTGGTCTCAGGAGCCCAGGCACGGTGCAGGCTTCCTTCTGGCACTCCTCCGGAAGATGGGAAACAATGAAAATCAATTGCCTTTACTGTTCCTGCTATTTGAAGAATTCGTCAAGACTCTGGAAACTGAAGCTGTACAGACAGGACCTCATCTGAGCGGTGACAATGCAAAACGGCCTGTCCCAAACCCTCCCGCTCCCCAAGAAAAAAAAAATCCTGGGAGGGACAGTACTTGTGCTGCTGATGAACTGTTGAATCCTGCGGGTAATTCCACTGATGTGGACAGTTTCTTGTGTCCATTAAGCATCCCATGATGTTTCCTCCCTGGGTTAGCGCATCTGCTTACAACGTACGCGTGATCCAGTGTAGCATGGGGAGTTACTGGTAGCTGAGTTTTAGTCCTGACTCAGTCACTGATATTCTTACTTGAGGAGTGACCTAGTACTGAGTCTGAAAAATACCCAGGCATGTAAAATGCTTGCTTCAAGCAAGGCCTAGGGTTGGCTGCGTGTTGCTAAACTGGAGATTTCACCACCCTGACTCGTATTGCCCTTGTGTGCAGAGGGGATGATACCATCACTGCGCATTCCTCAGTATGGGTAAAGGAAGGAATTGAAGATGAATTAATTAAATGCCTGTAAAACGCTTTGAAGATAAAAGCCTGATGGGCCTGAGCTGAAGCCTGCTGAAGGCAGTGGTAATGTTTCCATTGACTTGAGTGGTCTTTGGATCAGGTCCTGTTATATGAAGCTTTTAATATGAGCGATGGGAAAACCACTGAGCTGAATTTAGAACTCATTTGCAAGTCATCTGTTCTATATTTGGAAAAGAACTGTGAGCCCGATTCACTGAGCTACAGAATCCCCCAAAGTTTGCTCAGAAACCAATATGAACAGGGTTACGGGCAGAGTGCTCTGTAGCTGACAACTTGGGATTCTTTCCTGTACAGAGGCCAATGTGCTGCGTATCAAAATGATTTGGGGGAGGGAACTGAGGGTATATAGATTTTTGTGATGGTCCCCTGTGCCATGGGAATTAATTTCAAGCACAGTGGAAAATAGATCACTCTCTCAGTCTGAGAAATGCTTGTGTTAATTGGTGAATTTGCATCAGAACTGATATTTCTGAACCTTCTCAACATAATGGATGTCACTGGTTGATATTTCTCCTGGGGCTAGTCTCAGCCTAGAGTCTAGCTAGGCAAATAAAGCACTGTCCAAGCTTCCTGTGTCATTGGTGGAGAGAGATGGGACCCTCCAGCAGATGAGTCATCCCATATGCAGAGGGATGCTTAAGACTGGGGAGAGGAGGAGAAAATGAGTAATGTGTGCTTGTAAAGCCTTTGACTATAACTCTGTAAGAGGCGCTATACTCTGCAGAGAGAATTACTGGGTTTTTTTTTTCCTATGACTGTGACTGCGCTTCAAATCACTTTGCAGTATGTGAAGGCTTAGCATCGTGTGTCAAATTCAAGCCTATTTCCTTGACTTTGCTAATTGTTTCCTGCCACTTCAATAGCTTAAAACTGAGATTTTGTGCCATCCATGTATTTGTGTGTGCTGGTAGGTCTCTTGTTGTTTAATGAATCATTAAATAATTTTCAGCCTTCCACCCAAAGAGAAAATAGCAGGAAAATGGCTAAATAAATATTATATTGGGTATCCTGTTCCTGTGCAACAAGGTTACAGTCTACAGTATACGGGAACCTAATTAGTTATTTAATTAGGGTCAGACTCCTTAGAATGCAGTTTACTTGAATGACTGATGTAACTAATGGTGTGTGCCATTTTACAGCACTATGTTCTTTGTATTAATTACATTATTCCATCCTTACATGGTTTAATAATAATCTGCACAGGTTAATGCTTTGGCACTGCTACTAAAATTAACAGTTCCAAACTTCTGTGAAATATCACCCAGGCTCCTCTTTCAGAATCCTGGGGCTTTTTGTATAATATCCTATTTTCAGAATGTCATGGCTAAAATATCTAATTTGCTCACGTTTGCTTTATTTATGCATTTGAGAAGCATTAATTGTATTTATCTGTGGAAGACAGTAGCACAGAACAGTTCAATTTGAACTATATGTATACACCCATTATTTTTTAAAGAACTTTCAACCCATTTGACGTTTGACTAACCAATGTTTTCTGAAGTGGTTGAAGTTAAGTAGCTTTCAACAGAAGAATGCTGTCCTCTTTGTACTGAACTAGATATTCTAGAGAAAGTGCATATAAGCCTTGAGGAGACTTCAGAGGCATGCTCCCATTTAACACAACACATTTAATTATTGGTTTTGGTTTGTAACTATGGTGAGATTTTTATTCCCCTATGATTTTACACATGCTTGTGTTTGTAGGAGATGCTGCTTTTATCTATAACTGGCAAGAAGTTGCCAAACAAATATTTTAGTTTTTTAATATCCATGTTGAAAGGAATCTCTAAATGATTGGGAGTTACGCTCTATTTAATTGCATATTGGTTTTTTGCACCTAAAGCGAATTAACAGGCTAATTCTAGTTTTGGTATGAGTGATATTAGGATTTAAACATGTGAGCTTCCTCACTGGTAACTCAGATGCATCAGCTGGTACCTGGTGAGTGGAGCTCAACTCGGGGGAGGTGACTGACTCAGTTTGGTGGGTACATTCATGAATCTCTGGCTTTGATGTTTAGTAACTTCTGGGAAAGAATCAGCTACACACTAGTACTATCTGTGATGTTCCAGGAAAGTCCCTCTCAGTGTATTAGTTAAGGACAACTGAGATTCCTGTGCCACCCTCCCTTGCCCTAAATCAAGCCTAGGTTGGCATCATGTCTCCGTGGAGCTTGGCACACATGCAGCTGCTTCTCATAATCGTTTTTGAGAATTTCTATTTCATTTGTGAAACTAAACTTGGTGCTGTAAGCTGTTAAAAGTTCAGAAAATAAATATATTCACAAGCCCACACCTGCAGCAGGATGCATGCATTCAAGTGTTTCTGTGCTTTCCTGGATCTGGGCAGTTAGGAAGCCCTAATAAACAAATCTGCCACTGATTTCATTGGTTTTGTGGGTGTAAAGCTATTCTGCAAATTAAGTTCTCTTCCTTTTCTCTTGTTTCACCCTGTCCAAAGCTGGATTAAGGGCCTTTGTCCCCAGAGTCAAATTGTAATTTTCGATTGCTCACAAATGAGAGAGGTTTCCAAAGCAGCTTGGAAGACTTGGAGCACAGAGCTCCCTCCTGACTTCAGTGGGCCCTCTGCTCCTCAGCAATGTGGAAAGGCTGCCTAAATCCAGCGGTGTTTATGAAGGGGGGCGGGAGGTTTGGCTAGAGCAGGAAGGAGAACACAGGGACCAAATGCCGTGGTGGACAGAGCGATGATGGTGTTGGCAGACAGCTTGAAGCGATTCCTTGAGCTACCTTAGCTGTAATGCATACAAAGTCTTTCTGGGTCTGATAAAGCTTCTAAAATCAGGGAAACTTTCTGACCAGCGTAGACCAAAAGAAGGGCGCTCTGCTCGCACCACGTGTAACAAACACCCTGTTTCTATGTACATTCACATCCGTCATCAGAATCTCCACTTTATGCAAGAGATGGTGGTAATACCCAGTGAAAAAAGTGTGCTGAAAGAAAGCCCAGCACACATCTTTATCATCTAGATAAGTCATCTAGAAATCAGTAGATAAAGTAGAAAAATCTGAAAGGTAATTTCAATGTGAGCTCCATTTATCTGTGAAGAAGTGCCGTAGTGCTATAAAAAGTGAGGACAGTCACCTTTGGTGATGTCCTGAAGATATTAATGCTCTTATAAATTGCTCCTTGATAGGCAAACAGATAAACAAACAAGACAAGGATTTGCTGGCTGTCTTGGCAGCTGATTCATATTAATATGCTGCATCTTTGCCAGGTTATCAAACTCACCTTTGAAGAATTTGAACTAGAAAGAGGATATGACACGCTGACAGTTGGTGATGGAGGACAAGTCGGAGACCAGAAAACTGTGCTTTACGTGTAAGTAGGATGTCCTTTGTCACTGTGAGAAACCTACCCGTGAGTTTTTCCTGATGAGGTTTAGCTGATGTGCTTGGATGTAGGATTCCCAATAGTTTGCTTGCTGTACCTCACTGAATGGTTTATACTGCTTTTCATTTTTTTGGTGGGGTTGCGTGCTCTTGGTGTTCTCTTCTCTCATCACGTTATCTTAGGCTTCAGTTGAGGGAAAAGCTCTACCCTCTTTGCTTTTGTTCTCCTGAACTGCCCTTGTCAGCATGCTGCACAGACTGGTTGAAGCCATCTGAGGAGCTGAATGAACAAGGTTAAAGTTCTGATGCAAGAGTAAATGCAAACCAGGCAGAAAATAAGAACTGGTGGGACCTTGCTGTCCGTCTTGTACGGTCATTTTTAGCAGTGCAAAGTGGTCGTAAATCCATTACGTTTCTGAGTGACATTCTGAGCATTTTACACCCACTGTGCATTTGTATGAACAATGTCACAGACTTCTTCAAAACCGAGAATCTTTCCCCCTTTAATTTCTGTCCTTTGGTGTGCCAATTTAATGTTCTGTAGAGGCTTTCTCAGTAGAAGAAGCGCTGTAGATAGTCCTACTTTCCTTCCAGACCTTCCTGTATCTGTGTTCATCCTGCAAATGTTTCTTTCAATTTTACTCAGCTATAAGGGAGGGAAACTGGCCCGCTGCAGGACAGCTCCAGCCATGCGGAAGGAAGATAGGAAATCTCTGATGCTGTGAGTTGTTAGAAGAAAGAACTGTTGAGTATTCATTGAATTGTTTGTAGAATATCTGAAGACCGAGCTTTGTTTTACAGTGAGACTAATATGGGAAGATAACAGGGAAATAGGCTTTCTGGTGGTACTTGCGTTCTCGTCTCCAGTGGTTAATAACTGGAGGGAGTTTTGGTTTAAGTTGGAAAGGAGCACGTCGGTCAGAACGATGCAAATGAACTTGCGGGTTTGTAGATGAAAGGCAAGGGTTTTCCCTGACCCGTGTGCTCACTGTTGGTAAGCATCAATAGCTGAGGCCTGTTAATTAGGCAGGGTTCCCAAGGTCCTTGAGAGTGTTTAGATGCTCTAGGACAGGGCACGTGCGGGGGCCTCGGAATTTTGACTGAGGTGGAAATGTGCACAGCACAGAAAGGTCTTTCTCCCCTGTGAGCTATAACGTCTCTGAATTTTTGTTTTTTACGTACACACTGCGCTCAACTCTGAATCAGTACCGTGTTTAGGATATGGTCATGCCTTTGACTTAGGGATAAGTCAAGATCTTTTAAAGTAGCCACCAGAAAATGCCACAGCAGAAAAAGAATGCCTCTTGATCATCTTCAGGGAGTTGATTTATTCTCATTAACCTGCTAACCTTGATGGTTGTGTTTGCCCTTCTTCTGTTAATGTCCTGCCCCATTTCTTTCCTGAAGGGTCAGTGAGGAATCAATTTGTGCATCGTTCAAATCTAATTGTGAAAATTGTGTGTCATTCAAATCCACTTTACTGAGGAAGCGATGACTCTGATATAGCTCTTCTGAATCATTGAAGTAAAGTACTGTGTAACTTTATGGAAATTTAAAAACTGTTGGAGGTCTACTGTGGGCGCTATGCATTTGAGTCCTTTAGGAAATCTGTCTGGCTCGCGCTCGGTACATCTGCGCTGAGCAGTGTAATTCAGCACCCAGGGCCCGACTGCTTTTCCGAGAGGGGGGCATCCTGCACGTCGGTGCATCTGCTGCCTCTGGAGCAAAAGGGAAGACGTCAGCCGGTCACTTTTGGCAAAGTCCTAGATCTCTTGAGGACACTTGCGAGAGCTAGATATTGGGGCAGAAGCAGGGAAAAGGCAACATGTGGGACCTTCAGAAAGGAGTATTTGAAGTGGGGAACTGGACAGGGAGGGTTAGGGTTACCCGCATCCGATTTATGTCTTGAAAGACTCCCCTTCTTCTCTCGCTAACTGCGAATGTGTCAGAGAAAATAATTCTCCAAAATCTTCTCTAGCACAACTGTTGTACTCTTTCCAAATGGTAGAATATATTTCATGTTTTTTTTCCTCCTCCTCTTTGCTTGTTTTTCCACATGAATCAGCCTCCCACTCCGTTTTCACTGGTCTTAACGCTCGCTTGTCTCTCTCAAATCTCTGTTTCTCTGTGGTGCCTTTTATTCCGCATTTCTTTTCAGGACATAAACAGCAGTGATACTTAGGTCAGAAACTCTTAAGCTGCAATGTATATAAATGTAAAGTCTGATCATTGCAAAAGTGTTTGTAATTAACGTGTCACAGAACATTTCACAGCTGATTGGGCCAAATGTGCAAATTATAGCCAAGGGAATAGTTTGTAATAACTTGCCGAAGTGATTTCTCATTCCCTCCCCTTTTTGTTTGCCTAACGCCCATGAAGATTTTCCTAGACTCTCATTTAATCGTTCCACATGTTCTCACTCTGTATTAGCTACTCGACACCTTGTTAATGCAAATTTGGAATATCCGTGATTGGCTATGCAAGGTGTCGTGTGTAGTGTCTTCTCCCGGTGCAGACAAACTCCTTCCATTACGTTGCTGATACCACTCCGAACAAAGTGATTTTTACTTTTCCTCTTAATCTGAGAGGATAAGTTGAAAGCTAATGAAACGTGAAGGCCACAGAACTATTTCACTTATAATAAATGTGATTGAAAGTCCACAGACAATATTTTTTTAGCATTTACCAGCTTCTTATCTAGGGTCAGCTGAGTTCATGTGCTGGGCGTATCCTCTGGATACGAGCTTTAGCTTTTCTGTAGGAATCGGCATCCAGAAACCTAATCCTGGAACAGATAGTTTTGCTTTTCTTCTTCTTCAGTTCAAGAAGAACTCAATCCTGCAGCTTTAAAATGTGTAAATCAACTTCCATAGCACCTGTGTTTATCCTAAACTAGGTATGAAAGACCATTTGTCTCCATTCTCATCCCTGTAAAACGTATCTTGGAGAACTTATGAGGTTGTTAGGCTGAAGTTTCTGACTGGCAGAGAGGGTTTTATTCCCAAAAGTAACAAGCGCCCAAATCAATCACTCGGCTTGTTGAAGTGGAATGGGAAAGCATGCAGAAACTTTTGAAGCACCTTTTCTTCTGAAGGTTTTTCTCTTGGTATCTTCCTCATTCCTGTCTGTCTGCTGCTTAAATAACTGCAGAGGAGTCAACCGTAAAACTTTTACAAAGCTTCTCCAACTGCCATCAAACTCTGCATGCAAAACAGTCATTAAAACAAGATTACTTCTTAATTTACCAACGCCCTGGGATCAATAAAATTTCTGATGCAGGTCAAAGCAATAACCAAGCAAAGGTGAGGGTGGAACTAGGAGGGCTCCGATGTGCTTTGGAGATGTGTGTGCAATTTCAGGAAGAGCATGCTCCAAAGCTTGAGCAGTGATCAGCTTCAGGTGTTACAGCTAAAAATCTGTAGGATGAAGAGGAGATTTATATGTATGGTAAGATTGGTCGCATTCACCTCTTTAGATAGCTGTTAGGCTGTTTGAAAGTATCTGGCGCTCAGCAGGTAGCCGGAATGTCAGGCGAGCAGAGTATGAGCACAGTAGCGCAACCCTTCAAGCAGTCATTTTACTTCACTCTAAACAAACTGTAATTGGCAGATCAGCCATAGTGCCTCTGATTACCCGCAAAAGTGGGAATTGCAACAATTATGCCTGGAGGTTGCAAGTTATATTTATTCACAGGATGCTATCAACACACAGCTGCTGGGTTTGTTCTCGTGCAGTATTGGTTTGCAACAGTTCTGCCTTGAGAGCTCAGGCATCAATTTTATCAAGAAATCTTTTGGGTGCTTGCTATTATACTTAAGAAAGATGCCAGGCAGAAGCCATATCTATACATATGTATATATTTAGATTTAAGCAAGCACTCCAGAAAAAAGCACCTTGCAGTCACTTGCAGTAGTTACACTTAAGGTAATTTAAAAATATATCACAGATAATACCTTAGGAGAAATAGTATAATAATAAGATTAAACACTGCCACTAAGGCAGGCAACACAATACTCATACTCCTGTAGCAATGATCCCTTCCCACGCTCTGTTATTCTGCTTTCAGAAGTAAAGGGAAGGGAAGGAGCTTTGCTCAAAGCAGGCATTTGTGCATGTGGAAGTGCCTATATTGGTGCTTGTGTGGGTGGGGGATAAAACTCTAACGCTGTGTTGAACCACGGCAAAGTGATTAGTCCCAAAGGCTGAATGAGCCACATATGGCTCATTAATACGGATATATTGGTGACATTTTTCTTAATCTCTTCAGCTCTCCTAGGAGCATCCTAGAAAGATAGGCAGTGATAGATCATCCTCTACTACCTGAATTTGTAGCGTTTTTCAGGGATCCACAGAATATTCAGCAGATTTGAGGCTTGCACCTTGTCTTCCAGGGTATTTTTTGAGATCCTTGTGGAACTTTCTCTGTCAGGATAGAAGTGTAGCGGAGAATATGTTGAAAGTAAATTTTCTGATACCAGAAAGCATTTGTAAAGGTAGTTAAGAACATGCAGTCACTAGTATGGATCCTGGGAATTGTATTTGTTTGCTTATGTTTTCCTTCCGTGAGAGAGGAAATGATCATTATTGATGCTGGATAATAAATGGCAGTAATGGTACTAAATTGTAATTATAGCGGTAATAATAACGTGCAGGCCCTCAACTAAGACAGGAGACTCACTGTTGTAGGTAGTACACAGAAACATGACGAGACGGGCTCATCTGTCACGTTTTTGGACACTTTTGTTTGGGGGTGATTCTTAATTTTGTTACGGTGTTCTGGTTATTTTTTATTCCTACAGAGGAACCTGTAACCTGTATTTGCATGGGACGCTAAGTTTGGGGAGAGACACAGGCTATTTATTTATTTTTATTTATTTTTACAGCTTGACAGGTACCACGGTTCCTGATCTCATTGTCAGCACACACCACCAGATGTGGCTCCTCTTCCAGACAGACAGTGTCAGCAACTTACTAGGATTCAAAGCAACCTATGAAGGTAATCCAATTTTCTCTCTTGGAGTTTACTTATTTTTAAAGAGTCAGGGATGAGATGGGTCCCATTGCCTGGGAGAAAGGAAGCTTTTCAAAACGCTGAAGATCTACAGACTTTTTCTTAAAATCCAAGCTTTGCCCCAATGTGACTAGAAGAGTTTCTATGATTTCTTTTCCGTGGAAGCAGTCTGAATCATTGGATCAAGTGGATAATATTTCAGTGCCACTTCAATTGCTTTGTTGGAAATGAACTGCTGAATTTCAGCAGAGAGATGGTAACTGCACCTCTGGGCAAGGAAATGAAATCAAGCGATCGGGGTCATCACTAGATTATTGCTATCAACTACTTTAAATATTGACCGATCTAGAGCATTGCAAATAAAATAATAATAAACGCTGGGATTTTTCAAAAGAATCTCTTGGAATTCATTAGGATATAAATGCTGAACTCTGTCATAAACTAGACTTTTATCTTTACTTTGTCATAGGTATTGGCAAAGTTAGAGAAAGTGTAATGGAAAAGTACCTCTTACTTCTAACTCATGTAAGTGACTGGTGGTTCTGGCTGCTGCTTTTCTTAGATGCCCGTTTTGAGATGCTGTTAGGTTTTCCAGAAATCCCCATCTTGTATGTGTCACTGCTGTCTGTGTGAGCACCCAAAGCCATCAGCTTCCTGGGCGAACGCCAGCCCAGGGGCGCGCTCCCCTTCCTCCCTGCAGGAGTCTCGTCTGGGCGGCTGGGGAGCGCGCTGCCCTGACGCAGCCTCCAGCACTGGTGCGCAGCAATACCTCGACTCGGCTATCAGATTCCTTTTGATTTTATTGTCATCTTGAACCCCCTTTTCAAAGTAAGTGCTTGAATACCTTTCAGTTTTCTATAAGAACCTTGCTGATGACAGGGGTGGCTAACTCTAAAACTAGGCACCCAAATCTTCATCTGGACCTAATTCTGAAAGGTCTGAGTATCAGCAGTAACATTTAAATCAGACTGTTCCTCTCTAGGGCCCTAATGAATGCACGTTAGCATTCGTTCATGTTTAAAAGTGTATCCCTGGGGCTTGCTCCAGTTCAGGGAAGTGTCACGTGGTGCTCAGGCCAAGACCTTCCCATGGTAATGTTGCTGACTGACGCTAAAATAACAGCAGTTAGGAGCCTGAAGGGACTTGACCTACCGGAAAACCTAGCTGAACTAAATGCTAGCGTGTCCGGACAGCCTGAGCAGTACTTGAAGGGGCACTGGGTCGTGATGCTTGAGTATTTGCAGGGTGGCAAGGCCACGTCAGCAGAAGAGTTATTAGAGAGACGCAAGTAAAAGATAACGGGATTGAAAAAAGGCTAATGCAGCCTGACTGTCCAGGAAGTCTTAGTGGTGTGATCTCAGTCTTACTGGCTGTGACTGTGCCACAGGAGAGCGTGCCCCCTGCCGTAGCTGCCATCTGTGTCCTGCCACGTTGGTCTGTGGCCAGTTCTGAGCAGCCTGGCAGAGTGCTGTCCACCAGCTGTGGAGAGGCGAAAGCGCTCCCCAGCGGCGCTTTCAGATCCTGCCTGGTCTAACTGTTGTCCAAGACTCTCTTAAGATCTTGTGCAAGGCAGTGTAGATATACTCTTGCAGTCTCCTGACGGAAATTGTATCTACCCTATCGCATGAGGTGTAAAGTTGCAAAGCACATAAAATGGGGACTTTCTTGCGCTGTAATTCATCTTCTCTGAGCTTTGGCTCTTCAAGGAACTTGATTATTTCCTCCTTTGACTTGCTTCGATGTCTTGCTTGGTCCCTGTGACCTCACCAGCAGGTTTGGGGAACGCCATTATCTTTCATGCTTTTGGGTCCTGTTGTATGGAGCTTCCACCATCATAAATGCTGCTTCTTTACCTACCCGTCAGCTTTAACTGGGCAGCATCTGTCGTTTTGCTCTATTCTTGTACGTCCATAACCTCCTAGAGAAAAAAAGGAGGACTGTTCTGGCTCTGCTGTCCCTGGCGAGTGTTAGAGAGAGCCTTCCCTGGTGAGTGTCTGTCCGTCGCATGTATTAGAAGCAGAGGCTGCTCTCTGCCTTTTGCTCAGGTGTTTTCTGTTTTCCTGGGCATCTTTGTAGTGTTTGCATGCAGCCTTTTGGGCCTTGCAGAATGGGTTTGTGCATGAACAATGACACGCATTTCTGTCCCTAAGGTCCATGCTGGCACTAACCTGAAATTAAGCTAACCCCCAGTCAGCCAGCTCCATAAAATTCTTTTAATTTTTGCGAATGCTTTGAGCTACGAAGGAAGGGACGTTTAAGTAAGAGGCAATTAGCGCTTGCCAAATACATTATGAAATTATATACAACTTGCTAACAGGTTTCTGTATCAGTTTTATGGCTGCACTTTTTCCTAATTGCTAGAGAAAAATTGCAGCTGATGGAGCTATGTAAAGGCAAGACTAAAAATCTGCCTAATAGAAGGGCAGAGTATTGCTTACAGAGTATGTTTAAATAGCCATATATCCTAAAATACTTCTAAGTTTTAGTGTACATTTTAAGTGTAAGGCAATCATAAAGCCTCTTGCTAGCGCTGGAATGAAATGGTTACGCCTAAGAGATTTATTGACGCACGGATTCAAGGACCTGTTGGAAGGACCATGCTGAGGAAGGCAATATGCTGACAAATTTTTAATGTAGAGTTCCTGGGAAAAGGGAACCAGCCTGGCCCTTTAGCTGCACTTGCAGATAAAGGGGGAATATATTCACACCAAAAACAGTATATAAAATGAGGTATCCAGCTTCAAGATTGGATGCACGGGGAACAGATGTTTGGCTGGTGTAAATCGGTGTGACAGCATTGATTTTTCAATTAAGCTATGTCAGTCTTGACCGGCTGAGGATCTTGCTCATTAATGTTCATGAAGATTACTTTTAAATCTCCTATGTCTCAACTGCAGCCACTTTTATCCTTTTAAACAGACGTTCTCTCGTAATAGTGAACGATGTTTTTGGACTTCGAATGCTTGTCAGAAGAAATCTGTATTAAGCTCCACTTTGCTGGCAATGTCTTTTCTTTCTCACAACTATAGCAAGCTGATTGATACTGCAATTTAGTGCTTAACTTGCAAGAGGGCTTTACAGCCTCCTGGGGTCCTGGGTCTTATCTTCTCCCTTCTTTCCTTTAATCTAAGACAGTTCTTCTGAGAATACCTTGCATTTATGGCAGGTTGGTGCCTTCCGCAGCCATCGCAGTGGCTTTTTGAATGTTCTTTTTATACGCGAAATAGAAGATATCTCTGGTGGGGATAAATTTGATTGCCAGAGAAGAGCTTTGTGAATGATAAGGAAATACTACTGCCATCTGAACCTTTTTTCTATTCACAGGGTAGGGTTCGGGAGGTGAATGCTCTCTGCAGCACATATTTAATGGAAGCTTTAAATAACTGACTTGACACATACTTCTCTTGACTTCAGTAGCATCCTTGCCCTATATACGATGTGTCCATGAATAATTAAGAACTAAATAAGATACCATCTTTAGTAAGAAAAGCGTGACTGCACAAAAGAAATACAAGTTAGAAAAAGGCACATCAGAATCCTGAAAGGTAAGGAGAGGAAAAGCCTTATTTTGATCAAGATGCAGAAGTCGGGCTTGGTTAGTCTGATCTGAGTTCCCAGGTCAAACACTCATAATAGTTTGGAATAAATAATTCATTCCATTAAAATTTTCAAAAGTTCTTGGGACAATCAGGGCTCAGTTAAGAGGATTCAGACACCCATATTCATCAGGTACTTTTGAAAGTCTTGTCCGCAGTCCTTCTGCAGTTATAGTCCCCATCAGCGGACTGCAGGTAGTATGTCGTCTTCACAGGGGAGTTGTGGGGGAAAACGTGATGCTATTGCTCATCAGCTTGAGGTTATTACACGCAATAGTATGAAGTTAAGTCAATGCTATAAAATTCTGTGGTAGGAGATAAGAAATATTAAAAAGAGGAAAAAAATTGGATCAAAGCCAGATTTTAGCTTATATTTAATTTAAATGTATTTTAATATAAATTAATAATAATTCAAAGTTAAAACTAGATTTACACAAACACACGCACGCTAATCTAGTTTGGATTTCTGTTGGAATTGAGGTTGGATTGGACAGAGCTGACTGCGGCCTATGTTCTGACCTACCCACATGCTGCAGGCGGAGGACAATTAGACAATATTTATTTTGGTTGAAACACTGACTGAATGTTTGGGTCTGGAAAGTTGAGCTTCAGAGCTCAAACTTAGCCCCGTGGTGTTAAGAGACTCGGGAGCTTTGCAGAGCTGCAGCCTGAAGGTTTTCCTCCGCTAACCTCTCCGATTTTAGTCAAATCAACACTACCAAGGTGTTTGAATCAGGTGGACTCCCTGGGTCCCACATCTGTTTATACGTAAGCATTGTGTGGAGATGGATTCATCTTTTATATAGATGCCTGCAGATAAGCTGCATATCCAGGTGTTCATACACACGTACATATGGAAAATGGGGAACAAATAACCTCTTAAGTTGTCTAGTCCCTATGAGACTTGGGGAAAAAAAATACACGTATCTCAGACTGGCTCAGCTGTTGATAGTTGGCTTCGTTCGGAATGAGTTGTGTTCCCTGGTCTCGAGCACTGTCTGTCTCTCTTGTCTAGAGAAATCTACTCAGGTCTCACCGAGAAGCCCAAATAACTTGCTGCTTGCTTCTTTCTCTTCTGTTTTTCAAGAAAACTTTGCTATCTGTGGAAAGACCTGAATGTGACCATTGCTCGGCCAGCCTCGCGGTAGTGCCCCTTTGCTTGCTTCCTTGCTGGGGGTTGGGCTACTGGGATGCAGTCTCGCCTACAAACGCATGGAGGTGCTCACTGTCGCAGTGGTAGGGATCCAAGTCTGCCCCCGGGAGCGGTACGCTCCCCTCCCTCCCCTTGGCTCGTTCCCTCCCTCCCCATACTTTGTCGTGTATTTGCGAGCCAGGGTTGCCCCTTTTTGCCTAGGGGCTCCCTTGGGCAGTTTTCCGCTGCCCTGAGCCAGCGCTGTTCACTGAGAAGTTTTGCCGTTGTGAGTCTTCTCCTCCGGCCGAGCTGCTGCGGTTCCCGTCAGGGCGAGCCGCTGTGCTGGCCGGCGCGCGGGGACGAGGGCGCCTGTCGGGCTCCCTGCTGTCGGGGCCCTCCTCCTCCTGCCATCCTGAGTCATCCAGCAGTGTGTTTTCCCAGGTGTTTTTCATTGATTGTGTATATTTTTTTTATTAATTTCTATGTTACCAAACTCCCTGCTATAGTTGATGTGGGAGTCTGGCCGGAAGAGCTGGGGATTGCATCTCCCCTGCTCTTTTCCGTTACGTGTATTGACTCCTGTCGTGAAATGCAGCGTTGAAATACTGCTGAGCCAACAGACATGCAGGCTTTTAGCTTATGGTGTGTTGACCTGAACTGCTTTCAGGGTCATGTTACTTCTATTTACGCCTTAAAGACTACCCTAAGCCTTAGAGGGAGTGATTTGACGTTATGCCGCAGGGTTTTAATGTGGCGGTAGCCTGCCAGATGCTGTTCTCGCGTTTCTCCTGGTTTAGATTAGCAGTGGTTTAGATAGGAGGGTTGTGGCAAAAATATGCAGGAGTAAGAAAGGGGACTTTCCTTTTTGGTGTGTCTTATCCTTCCCTTATTTCCTCTTTAGATCCTTTTTTCCTTATCGTTGGAATCAACAAGCAAATTGAGGCAACGCGTACGCTCTGGTCCTGATCTTTCAAATACCGACCTAACACTGTTGTTGTTAGTTTAGGCAAATTTAATACACGTGTGCACGTGTGCTAATTGTTGAATATATTCTTAAGGGTATTTCTGACTAGAGCTGACGTTTGCGTGGTGTCCTCAGGTGTGGCTTCGAAGTGCTCACAAATCCCCCATCTTGCAGATGCTCTTTCCTGAATTGCTTGTTCAAGGGCTTACTTTCTGCTCCAGAGCCTTGGTTTCCTGCAGAGTCGAGTGGGGAAAGGAACAGAAATTCCCTTGGGACTGTGGGATTATGGCCCAGGAAAGCAGTGATCTAAATTTGGGGTGTTACAGTGTTTGCGTGCCCAGCTAACGCTGTGTAAGGGACCGGGGAGCGCGCTCCCTGCACCAGGTTTTGCCCACGTGGCCTGCGGTACTTGCTGGCATTAGTCATTGGGCGATGTAGGCTGCCTGCTTGGTGCTGTGCAAAGGTACCCAATTTCCCCACCCACCACCAGAAGACCAGAAGCATAAATAGCTGATAGAAAAATTTCTGGCGAAACATTTTCCATTAGAAAACTCTGTTTTGTCAAAATCTGTTTTGTAAGAATGTCTGCATGATATAATATTTGATGGAGAAGTTTTGAAAGGTTCCTTTCAACTTGTTTCATTTAAATAACGTCAAAACACTTGATGTAGTTGTCCTTGTTTAGTTTTTGCTTCTATTATTCTAATGTGGATGTGACTTTTTACTTAAACATTTATCAGGTGAAATGTTTCGATCTTATTGAAGTAGCATGTTTTGATGTTTCTGAATCACTCATTTTTGAATTTCTGCTCTGCGAAATATTTCATAATTTTTACTACGTATGAAAAGAAATGTGAAAACCAGGGAATTTTCCTCAGGACAAAAATTCCATTTTCTGGCCTCTCTAGCGCGGTAAAACGTGCTAGCTTTGGGTGCACGCTGCTAACGCCGAGGTCACGTGCATGGTGGCAAATGCGAGCGCTGAAGCTTCAGTTCTCCCTCGTTCTTAAACCTGGGATTGCGCTCTTTGTCTGTAGAGATGTGCCCCTTGGGTTCGCGCAGTGTGACAAAAAAGGACTGCACAAGCCAAAAAGTGTCGGTGTGGGGGGCAAGCCCTAGGAGAAAGGACACCTTTTAATCAGTACCTTGAGAGTGTCTGTGTTATCTTCATTCTTTCTCATCAGAGGGTCAAAAGGGAGTTTCTTTCTTTGCTTGACCGCATCTCTTTTTCTGAATATCTGGTAACCTGAGCGTGTCGTGATTTTGCAAAAGCTGTAAGTTGAGCACTTGTAGCTCCTGTTGGCTTCTGCCGTAGCGGAGCTGCTTAGCAGGTCTTTCTGCAGCCCCTGAGCGGGGCTCCTGTTCCCATTGCTCCTCCAGAGCCTTCACATAGAGGGAAGGTCTCTAGGTCTGCAATGAAATCCCAGGCTCACTGAATCTACGGACAAAACTCCCGTGGGCTTTACTAGGGACAGGGTTCCCTCGCTGGAGCTGTGTGGGTGATGATGAGCATCATTTAGCTTTGAGCTAAAAAGCTTTGTTGCGTTTCAGGGAAACCTGCTCTGACCCTGGAGGGGCAATCGCTGCCAGCAGCGTGAGAGGTGTTTTGACACTTCCGCTCCCTGGCAGCGCTGGAGCAGTGGGCTTAGCGGTGACCGCGTCGCTTGCCCTGGCCCTCAGCACCTTGTGCATTGCTGTGAGATGGCTAGAGGGATATGCATTAGCACCCATCTTACTCTGGCCAAATATCAGCAACCAGAGTGGTACCAAGACATGTAAACTAAAAGGATTTCCTTCAGATGATGTGCAACAGAAAGACCTTCCCCGAGCCTCTGAGAACGTCCAGTTTGTCCGCCTGCAGTGCTAGCAACAGCTGGAGATACCTGGATGAAAGGCACCTGATAGGACAGCCTGCCATGCGTATTATTTGCTAATACGGTATTTCAGGACTTCAAGGTGTAAGAAGGGAAGGCATAGCAAAAATTCATTTGTAAAGGGTTCTTGATAGCAGATTAATTCTAGCAGGACAAAGCTATCAGTTTCCCATGTGTCTGTCAGGTCGTAGCCCTACAAGCGATCGCTTGAGAATCTTGGGTGTTGTGTTCTGTAAACGCGTGGCTGCTCCCAGGCCCGTTTGCTTGTGGAGCTGATAGCCGATACCCTTCTGCATGGCAAAAACACAGAGACGTGCACCTGGAAATCCTACTGGCTTCCGCGCAGATCCTGAGGTTCAAACGCGCGATAGGCATTGCAGGATAAGCTAGCTCCTCTAAAGGAGACTGTACTGAGCACCACGCTTAGCTGTTTTAGCTCCTTGATGGTGAAATTAAGAGCTTAATGAAGAGCCAGAAGTCTGGGAGATGACTTGTCAGAAGTACAGGCCAGACTCTGCTGAAGATGATCTCCCGTGTAGCTGGAAAACACAAAACCGAGGTGCTCTCAGGGGGAAGCTTGTAGTATTGCTCCCACTGCTGTACCCAGCCTGCTGGTCGGAGATCTTGGTCTCCGAGGGGACACTTCACAGTGCAGGTTTTCAGGTTGGCTCACGCCGTGCCATTCTATGAAGAACTCCTTGCTTCCTTTTGCAGGGCTTGTCAGAATACAATTTCCTCCTGGTGTAAACTTATTAAAATACAGCCTCTGGGGAATGAGTACATCTGCCAGTTCAAATGCAGAATCCCGTTTCCTTTAAAATGATATTAGGTGTACCATTAGCAAAAAGTCTTGTGTTGGAAAGGCTCAAGTATCAATTTCCAGATGCTCTTTTCTTCTTGTGCCTGGTGTGGTGCTGATGGAGACAGGGTTCCTTCTTTGTGGATCCAAAATGCTGCTTCTATTCAAATAGATTTGAAAGTAGTGGGTTTATTTTGACAGTGTGGCACAGTTTCTTTTCTTGTAGCAAGTTTGCCGCAAAGCTGCTCAGTAGTTGCATGCTTCGTTTCTCAGATACTACAGATTAAGCATTTAGATACTTGATGAAGTCAGGACGGTAGTCTAAGTCTCTGTCTGGAGCACTGCTATACTTAGATGCACAATTGGAAATACTTTAGAAAAATAAGTTACTTCAGTCAGTCTAAGGTTATTCTATTGGATAACCAGGAAAATTGCTACCAAACCTGTAATTCACAGATGTTTAAAACGGTCACTCGTCTCAGACATTGTGCAGCAATGTTATGCCAAGCCCAGACCTCGCTTCTCTGTGCGGCAGTTCCTGGCCAGTGTTGGGCCTGGTTATCCTGCTATAGGCCTGACTTATAGGGCAGGGCCTTTCCATTGCCGTACTAAATTCATATGTTAAGACAGATGGATCTCAAATTCATTCTGCACTGCTGATGTCCCACCTCAGGGAGGAGACGGGGCAGTGGGACAGACGTTTGCTTGTGGTGGGGTGAGGGCTCTGCCTGAGGGCTTACGCGTCACCCATGGGCGAAGCTGTGCGGCAGGCTTTGCAAGAGCTGCCCCCAACTTGTGCTTTCCTTTCTTTCAGAGATCGACCAAGGGAGCTGCGGTGACCCTGGGGTACCAGCCTACGGCAGAAGGGAAGGCTCCACCTTTCGCCATGGGGACAGCTTGAAGTTTGAGTGCCAGCCTGCCTTTGAGCTGAAGGGACAGAAAACAATTACCTGCCAAAAGAGTAGCCAGTGGTCTGCTCAGAAACCAATCTGTGTTTGTAAGTCAGAGAGGAGACGGCTCTAAAGTACTTCCACGGTGCGGTGAGGTGGTCACACAAGCAGTGTGTTTGGGTGCTCTACGTGGGATGGGGCAATACTGGAGGGGGGAAGGAAGGTGGCACCAAGCTGCAGGTTCAGTAAGCTGAAGCCTTGGGGAGTGTTTGATTTGGTTCTTCTCTGCGGAGAATGGGATGTGCAGGAGGAGCAGCATCCAAGCACAGTTCGGGGCCCAGCCTGGGGCCGGGTACTCCTTCTGCCCTCCCCCGGTTCAGGTTCATTTTGGAGAGAAAGCAGAATATTTTCCTGTCCAACACAGGAGAGGCATGAATGAAAAAAAATAAATTGAAAATCCATTGAGCTTGATGCTATTTTTGGCCGTTTAATTTTCCTTCGTTATCTGACAGTACACAGGCTCCCTGCTGCCGGACCTCAATTTTTAATTTGTTGTGTGAGATCTCAGCAGAAGGTAGGGTATTACGGTCTCAGGAGTGACTGAGGATGAAATTTTCAAAGGTATACGTTGGAGTTACATGCACGGGTTCTCATTGGGTTTTAGTTGTCTTGAGTGTCCTTTGAAGATGTCCCCCCCCCGCCCCTTAATTCACAGCATTGGGCAGTCTGCATTAATATATTAGATGAACTCTCACTCAGAAACAATGTTATGTTTGAACATCACCAAAACTCCTGCAAGGGCCTATGCTTTCCCTAACTAATGGTGAGCAAACTCTTTTCTTTTTGTCTCATCTTTACTTAGCTGGATATGCTAAATTCTGCATCTTCAAAGAGATGCTATGCTCCAGTGGAGTGAGACTGAGCCTAGCAAGAAAATAGGAAAGGAAAATTCAATTGAGCAACAGACAGGGGACTAAAGTTTGGGGAAGGTGTCTAAAGAGAACACAGAAATGTTAATTTTAAGAGTTATATATTCACTGTGCAGATAAATATATGCACTGGTGTCAGATACTCCACTATAAAATGCTTATTTGTAGTGTAGCAAGGTTTTTGTCTGTACCAAAGATACTACACAGCTTGGAAGAAGTAGGTAAACTTGTTACTTCAGAATTGAATCTGGGTTCCTGAGGAGTTGTGTGTGAGCTTTAGGGTCATTACGCTGGCAATTTATGGGGCAATGTGGAAAAAAAAACAGTTTCAGATAAGTGCCTTTCTTTTCAAACTGCAATTTAAGCTCTGAGCATTCGTGTACATGTATTTGGGGAAAGGAAGCAATCCCCGTCTTAAGTTTTTGCCTTTCCCATGGTCGTGACTTTCCCCCTACTTGATTTTGTTTATAAGCAAATTCACTAAATGAGGAAAACAGTGTTTCCCTGGTTATCTTTGAAGGGGGAAGTGTTTGATCGTTTCTGCGCGAAGCTTCAGAGGTTTATTTTTCCTTTCCCAGGAGTTCAGATAAATTTGTAAAAAGGGCTGATGGTTTGGTTGAGGTTCTTCCTAACAGGTGGCAGTGAGGCTAAACCTGTTGTTTGTGCCCAGAATGAGGTGATTTGGTGCAGTATTAGAACGGACGCTTACATTCATTTCAGTAAAGCAAGATTTTTTTCTGTAGCTAGATACAGAACAGGGGCATCAAATCAAGCCTCGTTCCGCCAATGATCAGGAGTCCATGCAAAGCATGGCCCAGATATGAATCCTTTAGTTAAAATAATTCCATCATCCTCTATTTTCTATGGCCCTTCAACTTTGAATGCTTATGAATCAATAAGGCAACACAGGAAGATAGCGCAAAAAGTATGTCATAGACCCCTCTACCCCTCCTACCACTCTCCCTGCCTCCAGGTTTGTTTATTCTAGACAGCATCATATTAGCGTGCATGAATCAGAAGAGGTGACATGACAAAACATGTAAGTTGGCATGAAATTTGTAGTGGGATTAGTGACAACTCTCTGTAAATGTTGGGAGACCATTAAGTGTATTGGGCATCAGGTGGAAAAATAAGGTAACCTGATTTATGTGCTGCTAGTTGGAATATGCAAACAATTCAGTGCTTCTGATTCTGGTTACAAACGTGTGACAAATGCAGACGGAGATTAAACAGCACGCTGTGGTGCATCCTGCTGTCCTGAGCAAATGATTTACGAGCAGGCGGTATTTATTGTGGAGAACTTATTTCCTGGGGCTTCGTTGATGAAGCAAAACAAGCCATTTAAGTAATGCATCTGCTTATTGTAACGGGTTCTTAATTCGTGACTGTCTGTGCCTTCATGATAACGGGCCTTCCATCTTCATCCTCCTTGTTGTCATGGCATCCCTTAACCATTCAGGATGAGCACATGGGGGCGCTTCAGAAACTTTGCTTAGACTTCTTGATGCATGCCTCCTGCCAACCCCTTACTGAGCAAGGTGTCCCTGGCCTTGCTTTGTGTGTTTAGATTCTCCGTGATGGTCTGAGACACTTGAAACGACTCCACTGGAGCCTAGGAACCTGCGTTTTTGTAAGTGGATGGGTAATGCAATTATCTATGTGTACGTGTGCTTTGAGCTTATGTGACGACTGCTTCTGTGCAGCGTGGTTGTCTGGGTACCAGGGATGACTGGATGCGGAAGACCTTTCTCTCCTCGTTCTGTAGCACCTCCTGGTGCTCAAATCAGCTTTGTAGCTGCTGTTGTTCACTCTGACGTTTGCATTTGCAAAGTTACAGAATTGTAATAGCGGGCAAAGGCTAATGCAGTTCTCATAACCCAGCATAACCCAAGTCATTGCTTTCTTACGGAGCCATCATTAGTTTTTTGGAAGAGTTTTAAGAGGGCGAAACAGGTTTAGGAGATGCCATACGGGGAAATGTTGCCTAAGGCAAACAGTTGTGCTACTTAGACAAAGTTTGTACTCTGGTGATAGGAACTGGTGGTGGATGTAATGATCAAACTGAAGTCTCTAGTTACCTGTGGCTGAGGAGATTATTAAGTTTAAGAATGGGGACCTAGCCCATAATTACAGCTATCAGAGGGAGCAGGTGAGTTCTTCGCATACGCAACCCTGGATAGAAGGGGAGCAGGGCATTTAGATGGTGCCTTGACTTTCACCGGTGTGGTTGGAGTTGTTATTTAAACGTGCTCATGTATAGTAGGCAAAAACTCATTGTCTGAATTTTATGTGAGCTATTGCGGTCAGAAGTCCTGCTACATAACGTTTTCTATGACCAAAATCTGTTTCATAATGTGTACGTTTCCTTGGTAAGGGAAGGAAGAGCTGTCGTCCCTATTGCAGGGCGTAGTGCTCGCAGAGGGTTTCTTGGGCAGTTCCGTAAGTCTTGGAAGCTCGTGACTGTTCCCCTCCAGCAGCACCTCTTCCCTTTCCTCCTCCTCCTCCTCCTCCTCCTGCACTCCTATGGGTGTATGATGTACTGCTCTCGAGCTCCTTTGTCTGAAGGATTGACTTGCACCACTCAATGCCGTCGTTTTACATGATAGATAATTCTGGAATAAACTCACGACAACGTGTGTCCCTTGTAACCTGTCTCCCTGAACAAAGGCAAAGTTTGTACCTTTTTCTAACTGTCCTCTGCGAGTTGCTCTGGGAGAGTCATTTCTGAAACCAACTTATCTTCTGATATGATTAGTTCTCAGACTTGAAACATCTGAGGTTTTTTGGACCCGTCAAGTATTTTAAAGATAAATAAAACTTAGTGAAATAAAACAGTACATAGGTTCAGATTGTGATGCGTCGAGCAAAGCTGGAGTTTGATGCTTCTGCACTGAATGGGGGGGGGATATTTGCTGGGCATGGTTTGACGAGGATGGAGGATGTGCATACGTGTGTGTGTGTGTGTGTTCATGCATTATTTATTTATTTATTTAAATGGAGGAGTTGTCCTTTGATTTGTGCTTTCTCAGGGCACGTCTGGAGTCCTCCAGAGCTCACATCCCTTATTCTGACATTCTTTATAAGGTTCAAGGTGGTGCTCTGGTCTCTGGTCTTGCTTGAAGACTTCCGTTAGTTTCCAGTAATTTCTGCATTGTGTTATCGTTAACTTTATTTGTGTTACAGATCTGCTTAGAGCAGTAGTTATGCATAATGTTCCTCTGTACAGACCAGAAAGCCGTGTCCCAAAGCATTTCCGATTGAAATAATGTTAAACTGCATGTTTTCTTCTCTGGCTTTGGAGCAGTTGTTGTTCTCACGTCCCTTCTCATTTGCTCTAAAACCTCAACCGCAGACCTGTTTCTCCTCGCAGATTAGCCCGCGCTTGCTGTGACCTGCGTGCCTGCTGTCAAGGCGGCCCTGTGGCCACGGACACTGGAAGATTGTCAGTGGGTTGATCAGAACGGGGGATTTGCGCTCTCCGGCCCAAGCTCGGCACCGAGGAAACCCTTTGCGTTGTTGATAGCTGTCTTTGGATTTGCTGCATACGGGCAGCACAGCCCAGGATCCCCTGTCTTCCGTGCAGATATACTCCACCAACGCTGTCTTCTTGGGAGGCTTATGATTTTGTTGGATTTTCCAATCCTTCTAAACATCTAATTTTCTTTCATATCTGCATAAAATCTCCCTCAGTTTTCTCTTTCCTCCTTTAGTGGTAATTACTCCTTTTTGTTAATCCCATATTTGTCTGTTATACCTGGGGAATAATCTTAGCTGCTCTTTGCAGAAATTGTAGATTTCAGTTCAGAGCTGAGCGGCTACCGTTTTGTGTGCGTTGTCTGATTGCAAGCCTGCTGGATTAGTAGTAGCTGGAGATGCAAAGTGCAATAAATGTTTTCCCAGCAACGTACTGAACAGAAATATGTAATTTTGTATCACTTGACAAGTTTTTCATTTAGCTCTAAATTGACCTGTCAATTGGTCATTATTGTCTTTCTTTTCTTTTCTTTTCTTTTCTTTTCTTTTCTTTTCTTTTCTTTTCTTTTCTTTTCTTTTCTTTTCTTTTCTTTTCTTTTCTTTTCCACTATTCACAGCAACCTATGGATCCCTCCCTGTGAAGAGTAATTTGGACAACAGTGTATCTTTTAAGTGAGCAATCATAAAAGCGTAGAACAAAATAG